GGAGCCCCCCGGGCCGGGGGCTCGCTGGGCTGGTGCCTGCAGCTCTCTCTTTTGCTCTCCATCTCTCAGGGATGCTTAAAAAGCCGCCGGCGGCTCTTCACCGGGGCCAGGAGCACCCGCACGGGCGGTCCCCACCCTGCTTGGTTTGGGGAACCGCACAGTGGGGGTGCGCCTTCCGAGGGCTCCTCGTTTGCTCTCCCTCGCCAGAACAGTAATGAGTTCACAGGGGGTTCAGTCCCAAACGAAACGGGGTATTTGCCACCTCCTCGGCCTCACTGTGGGGAAAGGGACCGAAACCCTGGTTCCCAGAAGACACAAGATGAAGCTGGGGGTGGCGGAAGGGAGGGCTCCATTCCCTCTTCTCCTTGGCCAGGAGATCCCGACACGAGCCAAGCCATCTCCGTGACCGCAGGAGTTTCCAGCCGAAGAAACACTACCAAGTCTACAAGCGCAGAGCCGAATACACATGCAATACTGCAGCGTTGCTGCTCGAGATGCCGGCTCAGTGATTTACCCTCTTGCTGCCCGGCTTTGAAATGCCTGAGCAAGCAGCCCTTGCGAACGCTTTGTTGCACACACCGCACTTGCCTACGTTTTGACTTGAACCGTGCTTATTAACCTCTTTTTTTTTTTTTGGTATAATAACAGTCCAGCGTTCTTTGTAGGCGATCTTTCTTCAAAGATCTCCTTTGTGATCTTTTCATAGGCTAAGCAACAATTCATCCTATATAAATCTCAGATTGAAAGTACATAATTTGTTTTTCCCTGCTTTTTTTGAAGCGGTAAGAGATGAAACGGCTTAGGGGAATGTCAGCAGCAGTTATATCTTAATTGCTTTTTCTCTGCATCAAACCGCCTTGAACTATTCACTTGTGTGCAGAAGCTCTACGTGACCTTTACAGCAAGTGCTTTAACTCCCCTAACAAGTTATATCCCATCGCCGACTTCAGGAGTTTGCTTTGGTACTGTCTCCGATACTAATTTGGAACCCAACCCTCCTTCTCTCACGCTTTTTCTGTCCAGGAAAATCAAAGAGTTTCAAACGTGCCTTGAGTCAGGAGCATGAAAAGGAAGAAGGAAGACTAGATAACTGGGTGAAATAAAAAATAATATAAAAAAAGGAAAAAAAAATCCCAACCCCCTCCTAAGTGTGACCTTACCACTGTTGGCCAAGTAGGTGTTAATGCTAAAACACGAAGGTACATTCCTCCTTTACCCCTAAAAGATGGACGAGTGTGGACTCAGCAACCGCCAGGGTGAATTTGCTTTGCGAAAAGATCAGTTTAACAGCTCACAAAGAATATTTGCACGGTGCAAAGACTATTTGCATTGGTGATAGACCAATGGTCCTTCTTTTCCAGCATCATCCTATACTCTTTGGGTTTTGCCCCAAGTAGAGGCAAATAATTATTTTATGGTTTGGGGTTTTTTTTTCCCCCCTTTGGGTCATGTTGCATAATGAGTAAATTCCTTTCCATACCGTTTCCCTTCTCTTCAGCCTTTTTCTTAAGCTGGGATGGGTCTGGTATCGGTTATGTTTAACTTGCAGATGCAGGACAAGCAGCGAGGCAGGGGCGAGTCAACAAGAGGCCACTGCATCACTGACGACAGCTCCTTCGGGAAAGGAAAATTTGCTAGGAGGGTTTTGGTTTTTTTTTTTTTTTGCAGCGCGGGACTTTTACCAGGAAGGCTCGTACAAGCCGGGAGGCTGCGTGGAGCCGCGCTGGCAATTGGAGCGCACGCTCGCCGGGTTGTGTTAACCTGGTTTGGCATCCCCACAAGGTGTCCGGATTCCCACGGTAAAAACCGGAGGGTAAGGCGGCTTGTGCAAGAGGCGAGCGCGCTGCTGGGTGGAGCGTGCGTTTTTGCTTGTGTAATGGCGAGGTGAACAAGCAGAGAGGAAAGCCGGTCTGGAAACAAAAGCTGGCACTTGGCGAACAGCTCGGTCTTCATTCACATGATGCTTCATTAACAGTGCGCAGACTTGGATTTTAATTTTTTTTTCTTTTTTTCTTTTTTTTTTTTTTTCTTTTGATACTTGTTGAACCTGAGTGACTTAAGGCGTTTATTGTCAGGGCTTCCTGGCTCTGGCCCGCAAGAGGCTGGAGGTATTTAGGACAGCAGTATGAGCATATGGAAAGAAAACAGCTCTGCCTGTTATTAGTGTGATGACTATGAACTGCTTGGGAAAGGCAGGATGAAGGTTTGTCCACGCACAGCTCACGGCGACAGAGCTGTTTGCACGCTGATTATAGTGAAAAACATGGGCAACAAAGGTAAAAATTGTGAAGCCTTCAGCTTCAGGGGAGAAGTCCTGAACAGCTACTATATTGGCACAAAATCCATGCCTCCCAGACTTCATTTGGGAAATAACACAGATATTTATCCGGGGGAAGAGGCAGAGGATAAAGAAGGATGAATGCAGCACTTTCTTTTTTTTTTTTTACACATTGCCATTTAAACAGACTACCGAGAAGTGATTTGCAGGAGCCCAAAGTAAACTTCTTCGTGCTTTTCCAAAAGCCACACGTTGGTGGACATGAAAAGCCAGGGGACCAGGTGAAGTTTAGCTATGCCAAGCCTTTGGGGCACATAACGTGTGCTCCAGCGGTGGGAGAAGCAAATCTCCCATCCAGCTTGCATAATCCACTACTTGCGCTTATTTGAAAGGATGTTTCCTCCATTTTCTGGCTGAGCTATAACCGCTTCCAAAAGGGCTCGAGTCAGGATGCTTCAGAGGAAAGTACAAATTTCAAGCACAAGTTCAGAAGGTTATGTGCTACCTCAGTGTAACGTCAGGCAGCCGGGGCACGTCTCACATCTTAAACTTGCCTCCTGAATCACCGAGCTCGCAAGGAGCGAGCGATTTCCTTGTGCCGTAACTAGTTCGACGTGCTCCTCTCCAGCGTGGGCCCCTGCGGACCACGCTGTGCTGAGCTGGCTTCCTCGGCAAGAAGACCTCATTTGCTTGAGGAACTGCCGTCAAGGCAGCATTTAACTGGGGATGAATTTATTACGAGTCTCCTTTATTTTAAAACAGGAAAAGCCTGTTTAATAAGGAGAGTGGAAACGCGCAGAGACCATTTTAATTTTTCCAGCTACCACAAATCCTAACCAGATAGCAAAACCCAGATAACTGAGCTTAACTGAAATTGGACCGAAAGCCTACAGCTCTCGGTTATCCCAAATACCAAGCTCCCATGAAGGTACCCTAACGCTGTGCAAAAGGCTCCTGAAAAACCACAGCCCGTCCCCGATTTTCAGCTGGAAGGAGAGTATTTGCCATTTGTTTCTGTATCAGATAGGGCAGCGGGGTAGCACCTCCAAGGCTTTCTTCCTAGACAACCGAGGCACTGAGAAGCTATTAATCACACTGCAGCCCGAGTAGGCGACACGCCAAATTAATCTCACTTGGAGCACTTCCAGCTTCTTCAACTTTCAGACCCAGAAATGGAGCTTTTTTTTTTCCCCCCCTCAAATGAGAAGCTACCGACATAAAGATTGCATCAAAAGAGCATGTTCCCACAGACTAAACTTCACAGTTTCTTTTATCAGGTTGCTGTGATGGTAATCAGGCATGTACGCATGTAGACTCACTTTTTTGGTATCACGTCACCATTTTTAAAACTTCCCACTTTAATTTTCCATCAGGGCCCCAATTTATTTGTCTTAAGACAGTCTTCAGAAAACACCAATATCGATTTTTTAAATTTTATTTTATTTTCCAACAGTTAATCACTCTTATCTCCTTTTCGCACACCCGCACTCCCTGTATTTACCATCCAGCCTGGATTTGTCCAGCCGTGGCATTCTGACAACCAACCCATCAGTTCTTGATACTCTCTTCTGCTGAAGGAATGAGCTGAGTTGTTCAAGTACCTGTTAGTTACTTTTCCCGTAAACAAAGTCTATAAATAACCATCTGAAAACAGAAGAGTCTATAAAATGCTCATCTTTGCCATTATCAGCTAGATCTGTAATGGCAAGAGCACGGCTTGGTTTTGACAAGATCGGTTTTCTAGTAGGCTGTGTCGGCTGGAGTTAACTCTGCTTTAGCGAATCCCAGCTCAGCTTTCCCATCTCTTTCCTGAGGATGAACATCTCGCTAGGCAGCTTCGTTACCCACCCATCTCATTTGCGCTCCCTGAACGCTGGCACATTTGCTTTCCATGTTCTGGAATTTCCCGTTTTCTCAAAATTAAAGTTAGCCTTTCGGGATTCATGCACATAAATTACTTTGGTGTGCTCATTTGCAGATGTTTATCTCCAGGTAGCAGCACTCCTTTTTAACCATGTAGTGGAAAGTACTTCTTTAGGATGGGGGAACTGTAATTCGATCTCTTTTGAAATAAAAAAAGCTGGTCAAATACCTACATTTGATGTGCCTAACTTCACTGGCACTGTTATTGCATGTGTGCAAACTCCATTCATTATTCCTCCCCGTCAGACATGCCTTCACGCTGTTCTCTGTGCCTGCCGTAGTACACTATACCCTAATGACTGCTTACAGAAACTTTTTTAAAATAAAGTCCAGAACCTATTCCTGCCTTCTTCCCCTTACTCCTGCCATCAACACTGCAACGTGTCACCTGAGCATTAGTGCTACGCATTTTCTGACTGCAAGGTACTGAAGTAGGGATATCTTAACATCATAAACCAGTTTATGTCCCCCAGCACCTCATTTAGTCCATGACCGAATTGCATAGATCATGTGGAATCTTTAATAATGATGCTGCCCCCCAAAAACCCCAAATCCTACAAAACATTCCGGACCGTTTACTTGCAAATTGAGCAAGTTTGTTGTGATTTACATCAAAGAACTCTGTAATGCAATATTTACAAGGGCTTCTTTTCTTTGGCTTTTGACAAAGGAAACTAGCAGGATGTTCAGCCAAAACAGCTCGCACAGCCCTGGTTAAACACTTCACCGTTCACTACCGAAAGTCTAAGGGATATTCCTTTAACCTAGGAAGCATTATGGACTAGACAGGCACCAAAGATCATGTTTCACAACTTTTAATAGAATATTCTATCTATTCTGTACAAATTGAAAACACCGTATTAAGTTACAAATGTGTAAGGTAAGGCTGGAGCACTCTACATGCCTGGTCACAGTGTTGATACAGCTGCTATTCAACTGCTGCCAGAGGTTGGCAATGGATGCTGAAACTAGAAACGTGTACCTGAAGTGCTACACAACAACAAAAGGTAGTTTTGAAGACTTCAGAGCTTTAAATAAAACAGACTGTGGAATGGAGTAATTTCAGTGTTGCAAGTAAGACACCAAAACTTCAGATTTATTGAATTGAATTTTGATAAATTTCTGTGTTCATAGTGAAAGGTCCTTCCATGCTGGACACTAAGCAGTAAGACTACTGGACAGTTTCTGGTTCTTTGGCTGCAACCCACTTCCACCAACAGCAACAGCCTGGCCTTTGCATTTTGATCTTCATCCAGAAGAGTTGCCATTTTGATGCAAGTTCATTTCTTCTGTCTAGACTACTACATTGAGACCAATTCAAATTTTTTTGTTTTACAAGTACCCATATTGTATGCAAAAGAGGAAGAAGATTTTTCAAGTATATTAAAAACTATTAAAAAGCACTAATTCTGTCAAAGTACTTACAAACATGAATAAATAAATAGTAAGATGAACAACTAAGTCTCAAATATGACACCCCCTTCAATTGTTTTTACTGAGATAATAAATATGACATTTAAAGCTGCTCAAGCACTAGTTCAATTTGTAGGTTGCAAGAAACATTAAAAAAGGGGGAGGGAACTAGCAAAAAAGTCATATTGCTCTATCTGTTTCAGCTACCATACATGTAATCCATTTACTTTAGCTTCTCAGCACATTGCTATTCCACAATTTTCAATGTTTAACAAGAAAATGGATAATCCTCACTTGGTAGTCTGGACTATTCCCCTATGCATAGGGCAAAAGGCTCTAAAGGCCTATTGACATACTTAGCTACAGTGTACCAACGGCTGTAGAGTGTGCTTTATTGAAACCTCATATTTCCCAAATGCATTTAAGTTGCCACTGTACATGTTAAGCAATAAAGAAAAGTTAGTGAAAATCATGCATTTTAAAACAAATTAATTTTAAGCATTGTTAACAAGATTGTGCTGCAGCGATGGAATATCCTGAACTGCAGGCCAGGTATCCAAGTATTTGTTACAAGTTGTTCAAATATCACTTCCAAGTGGTATTTCCTTATTACTGTTGTTTGCATTCAGCAGGTTGGCTGGAATCTTTCTGTTTAAAGGGAAAAAGAAAAAAAAAAACAGTTAAAAATCAAAATGGCATATAAGAAAAAATTCAAACAAATAAAAGAAATCGGCTATGCAGTTTTGAATTAGCTAGAGATATCATAAGCATGTACAAAAAAGCTACATGTAAACTCAAGCTAGATCACAAAGGTCTGAACAGCAGTCACCATACTTATTGGGTCCCCCCCCCAACTGCTTGGTACCCCATATTTTTCATCTACATTTGCATTCTTTACACTCCATCCAGTAGACCAAGGTTCAAACAAACAAGAAAGCAAAACACCTTCTGCTCCCCCCCACCAGAGGCTCAATTTGACTTTCAGTTCCTATTAAACAGTTTAACAATAAACTGCCACCTCCTCGCTAACTCTGAGGAGGGAGGAAGGCAGGGAAGGTAGGCTGCTTATTCTGCAGCACGTTTGAGTTTTTCCTTAGAAGCCTTGCCCTTTCTGCTAAGGTGATAAAAATGTAATTAATGTGTTGATTTCTTCTAGGTTCTGCATCACCAGCAGGTAACTATTCAACAGTTTAACACTGGGCAAGAAGTCCACATGTTAATCTGAATATGTAAAAGTAGAAACACCTTCTTTAGGTAGTAAAACAACTTCCCCTTTGGCAAAAGGAAGTGTATTTGGGCAGGAGAACAAGTACTCAAACAGCTAAGAACTTCAGGTTTTACACTGCACTTCTTGCTTTTTTGCTGTAAAATCAGATCCTTAGAAAGCAGGAAAATTTATTCAGTGTATTTCCTGTTTGCTTCTCCCTTTACTGTTCTTAATATAGTTTATTATTATCAAATAGCAGTCACAGAAATCTGCTGAATTCTAGTAAAGAAAAATACAGGCGTAAAACATGACACCTTGAATGTCACTGACCGCAAAATAAAATGTTTCTTAGTAACTATCCTAAAGAAAAGCTTTATGTGTTGTAAAAGAAGCAAACATGCAAGAGTTCATTACACATCAAGTGACCAAGAGCTAAGGCAACTTAAGCATTTTGCCTGTAGTGAGGAAGAAACAGGTGCAACTAAGATTCCTTATCCTAAGTTTTGCCCTGATAATCTGCACTAAACCCAGACTATTCTTCTCTTCCTCACCTAAACTGCTTATGGGTTATAGCGGTCACTATCATTCCCACTGGAAGTCTGGATTAAAACCAAATGCTGTCTCTTCTGCACAGACATGCCAAAGACCTTTCAGACTTCTTCCTTGTGGTTTTCCTCCCCCAGCACATCTGGCTAACTTTGTACTCTCTCACCTGCCTGCGGTTCCAAATAACACTGATGTGAATTCATTTTCACTGATCTGGGACTAAATGCAGCATGAATTCCCTCTTGAAAAGAGGGATATGTCTATACAGAACACAAGATTAGCATTCTCTCAGTTTAAAAAAAAAAAATCTGACTGCCACTGGTAATACACTGCATGCTATTTGTTTCCATTTAGAGGCAGGCAAAAAACAGAAACATTTTTATCAAAAAGCTTTCTGAAGGTATCTATTTTTCTTGTAACTGCTTTTTACTTGAACATGACCACAGAGTAGTGCACAGCATCACTTCCTCTCCCCCATGCATTCTGGGTAACAGCCATAATCAAGTTACAAACCAGTTATTTAGAAAGTACCTAAAAGTCTGTCTATCTGCTTCCTTCCTATTCACCTGTTATATTTATATCAGGCACACTTAGGTTGACCACTGCAACCATTTCAGCCAAATTTTAATTATCAACCAAACCCCTTATTATATTTTCTAATAAACTTCATTATCTTTTCTTTATACTTGTCTTTATTTCTGTAAACATTTGAATTGCATTATTGCTTATAAATCTTTATCCTGTAAAAACTGAGTCACAGAGATTACAAAGTTCTTTAAGGACCTTTCAATATTGATAA